CCAGCCCCTTGCCAAGCCTTCTGTTGGGAATTGGTTGAAGTCCCTCAAGAGTGCAGCCAGCTACTCCTCAGATCCACCCACTGCCTCCAAGGCCCTCGTTTGAAATTCCAGAGGGGCTGGCCTGCAGAGTCTCTCAGTCCTGACCAGAATTTGACCTGAGCTGATAACTAGCTCCTGACTAACCATTCGGTCTAGCTCCCCATAGCTAATCTAGGAGGGTGCTACACACAGTATGTATATACATACATATATATATTTAACATACGAGTGTGCAGCAGCTGCACAGCCACTTGTCTCAGTTAGGCAGCTGTGTGGGTGTGTTTCCAAGAACACAGACAATGTGTATTTGGTTACAGGCACTTTTACGGCTGGAGAATTGGGACCAGTGACTCTGTCACTGTAGTTGCTTTGTCCCAATAGACATGAGTGAGACTGCCTGCATGTGGATGCACGGAACACCGGTGCATCCCATGCAGGCATAGGTGGCCTTTTGCACAGGTGTATGGATAGGTACGCACATGTGAATGAGGCCATAAAGTATCGAAGGGTGGACAGTACCGACAGGTAAAAATAGTTATCTATGCATGCAAGCAGATGTGTCTCTAAAATTAGCAGAATATACAAAATACAAAGGGATTATAACACAAGGAGCTCCATTTATTTGCTCCATTAAAGAATAATTTTGCAATGGCAGACAACCCTGTCCTTTTCATTTCTAACCTGCACTGTGCAGTGGAAATGGAAATATTCATACCTACTAACATTATTTGATATTAGTGTGGTGATTGCACTGTGGAGCGATAGCTGCTCTTTCACGATTTGTAATATTCATATCTATTTTTTATGATAGTGTAGTTTTTATAAATAATAGTGCAGGTTTTCTATTCTAAATTTTTCGGAAATGGAGATATGTTTGTGTTCAAGCCTTAAATGGCCTCCCTATATACAACACATGGCATACTAAAGAGGTGTAACCACATGTTAACACATATTCATAAAAACAGGGACTCGTTGTATATATTGCAAATCATGCTCAAGCTGGCCAACTGCGTCAAAGTCTTCCCTCAGTTTGCCAATATCATACTTGCTAGACAACATACTCTTAAGAGCATAGAAATATAGTTCCAATTTAGGGCAAACAGACACGGCTGGAGGTGAGCTATGACCAAGATCCAGCGATCCATGTCAGCAATGGGGAAAGATTTAATGTTTAAGCGGATGGGCAGCACCAACTGGTAAAGATAGTAATCTTTGCAAGCACTCAGGTGTGTCCCAAGGAAAGTTCACCTCCAGCTGTCTCTTTGCTCCATATATCCACTGTATGTTTGCGCTCTAAGGGCGTTTTCACACTGCCACTCTGCGGTTTAGCGGTTTTCATGCAGGTTATCCACAGTTTCCCTTAGACTTCTATTAGATCACACATTTTTGGTGCTTTTTCTGAAAGCACGCCAAAGATGCAGCATGCAGACCTTTTGATTAGCTGTCAAAAAACGCACCAAAGTGTGCAACTCATTAGAAAGGTACAGCACAGTAATCTACAAGAAAGAGTAGGGACTGGCCAGAGAGGGATTTCAGCTGAAGGATGGCTAAAGCGCCAATGTTTAGTTCTGGCAGGACGTCTATGGATGTGCTTCCAGAACCCTACCCCCTGAGCACCCCTGGGATACTCGCCTGGTGCGCTCTTTGATCGCTGTGTCATTTGGATACAGCTGATCACAGATCAAGGTAAAGGGCCAATCACAGTGGCCCTTTACCATGTGTCCAATCACAGCTGATAACATGTAAATAGGCTTGCTGGTTATCGGCGGTCCTTTTCCCACACACTGTGTATGAGGAAAGGAAAGCTGATAACCGGGAAGCCTGTCAGTGTACGGTTTACGCTGATAATCTGGACACTGACGATCAGTGCCCTGAATATCAGTGCAGCCTAGGGTTGCCACCTCATCCCTTTAAAACCAAACACATATTAACTACACAGGTTCTGAGGCTAATTTAATGCAGATAAGGCTCTAAGTGAGTTTAATTAACACTTTAATCAGCCTCAGAGCCTGTGTAATTATTATGTGTTTGGTTTTAAAGGGATGAGGTGGCAGCCCCATCAGTGCCAATCAGGGGCCCATCAGTGCTGCCTATTAGTGCTGTCTATCAGTGCTCATCAGTGCAGCCTCATCAGTGTCCATCAGTGCAGCCTAGCAGTGCCCATCAGAGCACATCAGTGAGGAAGAACAATTAGTTATTTGCAAACATTTATAACAGAAACTAAAAAAAAACACTTTTTTACAAAAAAAAAATTTGGTCTCTTTTGTTTCTTTAGCAAAAATTAAAAACCCAGTGGTGATTAAAGACCACCAAAAGAAATCTCTGTCTGAAAAAAGTTAAAAATGCAATTTGGTACAGTGTTGCATAACCGCACAATTGTCATTCAAAGTGCGAAAGCGAAAGATGAAAAATGGCCTGGGCAGGAAGGGGGTGAAAGTGGTTAAGCAAGGGTTTGCTATGAATATGTAAGGGTTAACATGTGGTTACACCTCTTTAGTATCCCATGTGTCCTATATATGGAAGTCATTTAGGACACATAGGACAGACATATCTCCAGTTTCACTGCATAGTGCAGGTCAGTGATGTCTGAAATTGATGGATTAGTGTTTAATGGAGCAATAAATAATGTTCTCTGTGCTGTAACCCCTTGTATTTTGTAAATGTTTGTTTTTTTGGGACACACATTGTTGCTTGCCTTGAAAACTATCTTCACATGTTGATGTTTTCCACTCTATTACCCCAGGTTCACATCTGTGCGGGGGTGGTGCCGCTGCGGATCCGCACAAAAATCCATGCAGCCGCAGCACCCGCACAGAGAATTGCGGACCCCCGCGGGCGGGTGCCATCAGTTCTAATGGCACGCTGCCCGCACTGGAAAACGCAACTGTACTGCAAACTGAGGTTCCCGTGCGGGCTGCGTTTTCCAAAGAAGTGCACTTCTTCCCTGCGTGTCATGGGCATGGGAGTCCATTCAAATGAATGGGCTCTCGTGCCCGTGCAAAACGTGGCCTGCACGGCCGCATAGATGTGAACCAGGGGTTAAACTTTGGGTGTGCACTGGATCTTGGTCTGTAGCTCAGCTCCGGCTGTGTCTCTTTGCTCCATATTGGCACAATATGTTCACACTCCTAAGAAAATGCTATTTTATAAGTAAGAGTAGGCACTAGCTATCGAGGGATCACCTTGATGCAACTGACCAGCTTGAACATGTATTGCAATGTATGCAAAGCTGTTTTTAAGCAAGATTTTGCTATAAATATCTAAGGGTTAACTTATGATTCCATCTCTTTAGTATTGCATGTGTTATGTATATATGGAGGCCATTTAGAATCTGAACACAGACATATCTCCATTTCCACTGTACAGTGCAGGGATGTCTGAAATTGATGGATTATTCTTTAAATGAGCAATACATTGAGCTCTTGGTGCTGTGACCCCTTTTTTTTATATATATATCTAGGTAAAACTCCCCCAACATTCTTTTTTTGGGGTCTCGTTGGAGGGATTGCCCTTCACTACTTGTTTCAAAGACACCAAATGATGACAAGGAATTTGCAAATGCTCCACTGCTGCACACTGGGTTCCATGCTGTCATCTTTGGGGTGGATTTACTAAGTGCCGGTTCACATATATGAGGATTGGATGCAGTTTGAACCGCATCCAATCCGCATGACATGTGAAATAACATTGCTTCCTATGGTGCCTGTTCACATATGTCCGGTGCACTGGCAGTGTGGATTGAAAAAGAGTCTTGTCTGTGTTCTGAGCAGTGCGGTCCAGTTGAGGTGCAGATTACAGACTATTGACTTCTATGGGAAATTGCACATCATCAGTTGTAAACAGGATCAGGATAAAATCCTGTCCTGAACCTGATCTAAACCTGTTGTGAACTGCTGAACAACTACTGTATCAATTAGCTGTGAAACCTGAGCTTCAATCTGCAATGTACACAGGGGTGGACTGACCATTTGGAAACTCAGGCACTGCCCGAGGGCCCGGGGTCAGTAGGGGGCCCCATGAGATGCCCCTGGTACCTTTTTCATAGGCTTTTTTGAGTTTGGGCAAGGACACGGGCATGATCCCCTATTGCCCGGGAGCCCCATGAGTTGTCAGTCTGCCCCTGACTGTACATGTGTGAATCAGCACTAAATGTGCCTTCAGTGCAGTTGCTCCAGAGCTTAGCAAATGAGATGAAGCTTCACTTTACAAAGAATACCCAATCATATGAAAGAAAAATCCTGTAGTTTTGCTAGCACATGATTGGATGATGGAAGTCATCAAAACTCCCCCTCATTTACTAAGCTCTGGAGCAACTGCACGTGCAAAGTGCACAGTCTATTTGCCTTTAGTAAATTTACCCCTTCTTTGTGATGTCAGCAGGAGCCAGCTGACTCCTCCAGGTTCTTGCAGCAGGGCCCCAATGAGGAAATACTGTGCATGCGTATTGTATGGTAGATGGTTTCAAAGCCTCCTGAGATGCATGGTGTTATACCATCCCAGGAGACTGTGGACAGCATTGCTACATCATTCTTGCCTAGAAAGTGTGAGGCAAGCTTAAAAAAAATAAAAATAAATAAAAACTAAAAAATTAAAATAAATTTGAGATTCTGAAAAAGTAAAGTTGGGAGGGTTATATTATAGAAAGCTAAAGAAGGGGGTTTACATATGTTTAAAGAGACTAAGTCACAGGAGGAAGATCAGACATAGAAGACTGTGGTTGACCTACTAAAATAGGAGTGCAAAATCTGGTGCAGCTCTCCATAGAAACCAAGTTCCAGTTTTTTTGTTTTTTTTTTTTGGTCAAAGCTTAATTGAACAAGCTGAAGTTAGGAGTTGATTGGCTACCATGCAGAGCTGCACGAGATTTTGCACTCTCCAGTTTTAGTAAATCGACCCGTGTTTCCTAAGGATAAACATTGTTTTTAGCTTTTCCTATCTCTCATATTTTCTAGATTTTACTCATGTCCTACGTTGCAGCCATGATGACTTTTCTGGGGCTGGTCACAGGCATATTTATGGTCACCTCCCTGGCTGAGAAGATGACTGGAAGTTTATCTGAGCAAGGCACTGTTGTCCCGGCTGAAAGTAAGTAGTATACTGGAGTGTCTAAAGCGGCCCATAAGCATGAGAGGACAGACACCATGAGATCATTTGCAGTCAACAATCTCACAGAAGACCACTAGTCAACCACTATTGGAGGGAATGTCAATTGAACAGGGTAGAAAATCTGTCCCAAATGCTATTGTTCCCCAACATTGCACCCTTCTCTCATGCTTACTAGAGAAGAAGGGATGGGAGTCAAATGCTCCCCAATCCTGAAGCAGAACTATAGGCAAAACATTTTTCCCCCATTTTGGATCTAACCGCTGACAATTTTTTTTTTTTTTGGAACCTGTGTCCCATTGGGGAGATTTCCCTTCACTTCCTGTTCCATAACCAAAACAAGAACTGAGAGGAAATCACTACAAATTAAGGGAATCCCTTAAGGCCCCCTGGTCATCAGAACTAATGTCCCCATTGGAAGATTTCCCCTCTATTACTTTTCTGGGGATAAACAAAAATTTGGGATTTTCTTTTACTTTCAATGATAATGGTAAACAGGACAAATAGAGAGGGAGAATGTCCCAACGGGAACACAGACAGCAATAAAAACCTAATAGGTGTTCCAATTTCTGGGCTCCTGGGTCTCCCACCACCTCCTACATACCAATGATTCGCTGCCATAAAAAACCTTATTTAAATGCCACTTTAATACTCCAAAATTTGTAGTCATGTGACATTCAGATCCCTAGACTTCTCTTTTCCTTCTGTTTACAGAAGGTAGGTATCTTCTTAGGGTAGCTATATCATATCACTTCCTATTGGTTGTCTCAGGATCCAGAAGAGGAGATGTAAGCCCTGGTTTGCCAGTCTACAGCACCTGGAAATCACATTGGTGATGTGAATAAAACTTGCTTTACAGGGTCAAATAAAAAACAGCTGAATATGTGAGAGTGGGGTGGAGAGAACAGTAAAAAGGGGTTTATGATTGTCCTTGGAAGAGTTTTTTTTTAAAAAAATGTTTCTCAGGCTCCAATACTTACCTCCTCTCCAGCACTGTCCCTCACAGTAACTATTTTCTCCACCACAAGATATCCTTAGTCTTCCAGGTAAATTATATCCAGCATGATTCAATCCAGAAGACGGACGACAAACTGTGAATGCAGAGCATCAAGGATCCATTAAGGTAAGTATTTTAAAAAAGAAAAAAGCATAATATACTTGTGGACAGCCTCAGGGAGGGTGTGGGAATTTCCAGGGAGTGGAGCTGGGCTGTACCTTGCCTTGCGTGAGTCTACCAGTTGACTCTTATCCCGAAAGGGTTTTCTGACTCATTAGATTTAACCACAGTTGTCTCAATGTGGCAAAACAAGACAAAAAAAGTAAACCTACAGTATAAATATTCTACTTTGATACTGCCCAGTCTTATACTGCTTCGTTTCATATAAATATATGTTCACTAATGTACTATTATGTACAATCTTTCCAAAGTTCGGCCATGTGTAGACTGCCATGCGTTTGAGTTCATGGAGCGAGCTTTGCAGGACATCAACACAGCAGCTCACAATTTGGACTCTCAGGTATTTGCTTCACCACTAATAATACTAAACAGTGCTCAATGATATGAATGATATGGTATTATGTATGTATATATAGCCAAAATGTTTTGGTCAGAGCAGGTTTTTCTCTGTCAGTTTATTTTTGCCAATTGTGTCCCATTGGGGAGATTTCTCTTTGTTTCTTGCCCGAGGATGCATTGGAAGATTGCCCCACACCTTTTGCTCTTGTGACAATTATCAAAACAAGCGGAGAGAGTGAACCAGGACACGTGGAAAGGAATGACCATAAAAAAACAGAAGAACTAGGATGAGCCATGAGGGTGAGCCATGAGGGTGGATCAAGACGTTGCCATTAATTTTGGGTGGCACCCCACTGCACCTATGCAGCATGCTGCAATGCACATGGCAGGGGTTCTAAATTATCCCTCATTTATCTTGAACGAAAAACATTTTGGCTATACATTATTATTATTATACAGTATTTATAAAGTGCCAATAGTTCGCTCAGCGCTGTACATTAGAGGGGGACAGAACATGTGACAGAACAATACCAATACAATGCAAAACATGAGGGGATCGAGGGCCCTGCTCTTTCGAGCTTACAATCTATAAATTAATTTTAAAAAAAAGAGGAATAAAAAAAAGATTCACAGAAATGTTACTGTACAAACCACCAGGTAAGAGAATAGATGTTTTATTTTATATTTCTCAGACTATGGTTATGTCTTCAGACTCCTCTCAACCCCCTTTAACATAATGACTATGTACAAGCAGTAATCAATGACATTACATACTCCAGTCTTTCTGCCTTTACAAGGAGAACCTCCCTTCAACTAAATAACAGTCCCTCCTCCTCTCTCTATCAGCTTCCCCTAGCTCCATTTTAATTAGCGAATCACAGATATATTTAGAGATCTAGAAAAGAATGAGGCCATAAAGAGCAGTGGGAGACACAAAACAGCAGTCATTATGCAAGCTCCATTCATTAAACAGAGTATTTTTAACGACTTTGATGAATTAGCCAGTTTATTTTAACCAGCCATCTCACACGCAGTCATCAGTGTTATTGGGGGCACTGAGATTGTGTTACTACTGCTGTGATTTTTAACGTGAGTTATTAATATGCAAATGTGATGAGTATCACATGAGACTGAGGGATGGAGCATTAGTTCTACAGGTTCTTTGTGAGTAGATGTTTGAAGCTACAGTGGGGATCGAAAGTTTGGGCACCCCAGCTAAACATTTGTATTAATGTGCATAAAGAAGCCAAGGAAAGATGGAAAAATCTCCAAAAGGCATCAAATTACAGATTAGACATTCTTATAATATGTCAACAAAAGTTAGATTTTATTTCCATCATTTACACTTTCAAAATAACAGAAAACAAAAAAATGGCGTCTGCAAAAGTTTGGGCACCCTGCAGAATTTATAGCATGCACTGCCCCCTTTTCAAAGCTGAGACCTGCCAGTGTCATGGATTGTTCTCAATCATCAACTGGGAAGACCAGGTTATGTCAATCTCAAAGGTTTTAAATGCCCAGACTCATCTGACCTTGCCCCAACAATCAGCACCATGGGTTCTTTAAAGCAGTTGTCTAGAAAACTGAAACTGAAAATAGTTGACGCTCACAAAGCTGGAGAAGGCTATAAGAAGATAGCAAAGCGTTTTCAGATGTCAATATCCTCTGTTCGGAATGTAATTAAGAAATGGCAGTCATCAGGAACAGTGGAAGTTAAAGCAAGATCTGGAAGACCAAGAAAAATATCAGACAGAACAGCTCGCAGGATTGTGAGAAAAATTATTCAAAACCCACGTTTGACTGCACGATCCCTCCAGAAAGATCTGACAGACACTGGAGTTGTGGTACACTATTCCACTATAAAGAGATACTTGTACAAATATGACCACCTAGATAAATATAAACGCAGCTAGCATAAAAGTAATGGTCTATGCAACCAGTACTACAACATTCTCCTGGTTAGAAAGGTGTAAATGGTGACATAGGTGTCAAAGTCAATATATCATTGGAGTGACAAAAATAAATCTGTGACATCTGTGGTAGAAAGTGTGGCTGTAGAATGCACTAACCAGATAGCGCAGATATTAGCGCATTGGAGTAAAATGACCTACTCCTGGTCAATGGATCAGGAAACCTGCCGGAGTTGTGGTCGTCTCTGCTGTGGTCACCAGAAACATCTGCGTCCTCTCCAGTTGTGGCATTACCAGGTATCCAGTGGGATAAATGCTCATCCAGTGTGTGGTGGAATCCTTTTGTGTCAGCGACCTCCAGGGGCGCGGTATGCACTCAAGGAACAGGAATCACCTTCAGGGCTCAGAAATAAACCCAAAAGAGAGGCTTCCGATAGTGTAATACCTTTTATTAAGGAGTAATAAACAAATGAAGCACTTACAATAAACAATTCCAAAGATGGCCGCCCGTATCAAGGTGTGGACCATATGGGTAGTAGTGGTAGATGAAGTAGCATCTCCCTAACGTGTTTCGTGGCAAGTGCACGTTGTCAAAGGGAGTGGGCTACTGTCAGAGGCCACCTATTTATGGTATGAGGCCTAAAATGTCAAAGGACGCTAATCGCGTCAAATTACCGCTACTGCGCATGCGCGGATCGAGTGCCGCGCGCATGCGCAGTCCGACGCTATCGCGTCATCGCTATTCATCCGCGCATGCGCAGATCGTGCTTGGCAGCCATTTTCCTGGAGTCCCAGTCTCTGTTTACTGCCTCTGAAGACAGAACTAACAGTGGGAGAATTCAATCCGTGGTTGCTGTCTCGGATGACAGACCAACCAAGGAAGAAACTTCAGTGGGGTAAAAGGAGCTGTTGTTGGTGGTAACCACCGATTAATGATATGCTCAGGGAATGACAGAATTTAAAAGGGTTAAACAAGGCACAGACCCTATAGATATCAAGGGCATAGTCATCCTGTGGTGAAATAGTGGGACTGCAAGTACCAGAACAGATTGCTCGATTGGAGCCATTCATCAAAAAAAGTCCATGTTTGAAACATATTAATACAGGCAGATTATAATAAACTGCACATATATATATATAGAAATAGAAAAATATGGTAAAAAATTGATAAAAATGCATAATATATATCAAAATTATAAATATACACAATAAATATATATAGGAATATAAGCGTCACCTGGCATTAATATATAATTTATTTATTGAGAATCGGACCTCAAATTATTGAAAAAACCGATCTTCATGAGTACTTATCTTGACCCCCCGTGTAATTCTTATATAGGTGACACCACGTGTAATTCTTATACAGGTGACCATATAAAAGTATATATATATACATAAATATATATAAAAATATGAAATTATATATAAATATGTAAAAACATATGAAACAACATCACATGCATGAAATATATATGCAATTAAAAATGTAAGATATAAGTAATAATGCTGGTGTGAGTATACAGATAATGTGGCCGAAGGATGGCAACACAATAAACACTCAACATACACTAAAATGCCGTAAAATCAATGACAATTAACTAGTGTCTAAAAAACAATTAAGATCCAAATCCACGTTTAACCCTTGTGTGGGCAAATGTTTTGAGTAAAAAAATCCATTTGGTTTCTATCTTTGAGACTGCCCTGCGTTTATGTGTTCCTCTCCAGTGTCTTTGAATCATGTCAATTCCTATAAATTTCAGGGAGTGTGGATTATTGTTATGCGTTTGGTGAAAATGCATGGAAAGTGAGTGTTCTCTAAATCCCTTTTTTATATTTTTTAAGTGCTCCCGTAATCTGTCCCGAAGTCTTCTAGTCGTTCTACCGACATACTGTTTGCCGCATGCACATTCTAAGAGGTATACAACATGCGTGCTGTTGCAGGTAATAGTGGATTGGATGTCATATGTTCTCCCTGTGGTGTTGGAACGGAAAGTCTTGATTGGGTTTTTATGGATACCATTGTGAGTACATAACATACACCTATTACAAGGGAAAAACCCTTTCTGATCAAAAAAGGATAGCTGCTTAGGTGGGTTGACTATATTTGGAGCCAGCCTGTTTCTCAAAGGGGGTGCCTTGCGGTAAGTAATGTCGGGGATTTCGGGTAAGTGTTTCCCTATAATGGGGTCATTCTTGAGAATAGACCAGTTTCTCTTAATGATCTTGGCTATGTCCCTATATTGGGTGGAGAAGTTGGTGACGAAAGGGCAAAATTTCTCAGTCTGGGTCTTTGGCCTAGTGGTAAGTAGATTGGCTCTGTTACTGTCTCCCACAACAAGCCTTTCCTCATCGAGGGTATTGGCATTGTAGCCTTTATCAATAAATCTCTGTTTGAAGATTTCAGATTGGACAAAGTAATCTTCTTTCTTGTCACAATTTCTGAAAATCCGGAGAAATTGTCCCCTAGGGATATTACTTAGCCATTTAGAATGATGGCAACTGTCTTTAGGGATAAAACTATTACGGTCAGTAACTTTAAAATAACTTTTAGATAAAATACATGGGCCATCAAAGTACAAAGTGAGGTCTAAAAAGTTTATCTCTTGTAGACTGTGCTGAAAGGTGAGCTTAATATTAATATTATTAAAATTGAGAGTAGTAAAAAAAGTTATCCAGTGTGAACTCGTCCCCTTCCCATAACAGTAAGATATCGTCTATGTATCTGCGGTAAAACAACAACTGTGGCCAGTCTCTTGAATAAATAAGGTCCTCCTCCCAGCGTGCCATAAACAGATTAGCTAAACTCGGGGGAAACTTCACGCCCATGGCAACGCCGGTGGTTTGCAAATAATATTTATTATCGAACCAGAAAAAATTGTGATTCATAGCAAATGTCAGAAGTTCCAATATGAAGATTTTTTGTGAGTCTGGTATGTCTTTTGCTGTGTTCAAGTAATATTCAGCAACCGCAAAACCATCCTCATGTTTGATGTTACTATATAGGGCAGCGACGTCCACCGTAACGAGAAAAAGTGGGCTGTTTCAGGGTGATTCGTTTAATGTCTACCAGCACTTGTTTTGTGTCCTTAAGAAAGGATGGAGTTTCACAAACAAGAGGCTGAAGAAAGAAATCAATATATTCTCCCACTCGGGAGCAAAGGGAGCCTATTCCACTTATAATGGGACGGCCAGGTGGATTGAGTGGATCTTTATGTACCTTCGGTAAACAGTAGATCACCGGTAATTTGGGGACAGTAGGGCAAAGGTAATCCTTTTCTTTTTTGTTAAGGATCCCCAACTCAAAACCTTTATTGAGTATTACTTTTAATGCTTTTTTGTAAGGGATCAGAGGGTTGTTGGGTAATTCCATATATGTATTGGTATCATTTAGGATATTTTGCACTAGTGCAAGATAATGACTTTTGTCCATGATGACTACCCCTCCACCCTTATCAGCTGGCCGTATTACCAGATCCTTATTTTCTAGTAGATTCTTAATCATTCCATCTGTCTGTCTCCGGTTGTGGTACTGGTAGACCGGGGTCTTAATTTTTAGCTTATCCAAATTATTAATGACCATGTTTTTGAAGATATTGATGTGGGAATGTGCCGGGGGGTTAAAAAGAGAAGCGTTTCTCAAGTTTGAGGTCTTGAAAGTGTTGTTATCTGAATTAGAGTTCATGATGTTGGGGGGTTTATTTAGAAAATATCTTTTGAGGGATAATTTTCTGGTGAACCTATGTATGTCTATATAGGTGTTGAATTTATTGAGTTTGGATGGTGGGGCGTATTTCAAACCTTTGTTGAGTAGCCTCAATTCACTATCTGTTAATATAGCGCTGCTTAGGTTGAAAATACCCGCCTTACTTAAATCCTCCTTCTTTTGTCTACTGACTCGTCTTCCGGCTTGTCTTCCTCTTGTCTTATGTTGTGTTTTTTTCCCGTACCTCTCTCTAAAAAAGAATTGGGGTTTTCTCGCTGTTGAGATCTAGGCGGGTGGTTATAATCATACTGGTCTCTATAGTTCTGCGGGTGAGGGCCCTGTGGATATCTATTATCCTGCTGGGTCCCCCTGTATTGTATGTTATTGTTATACCCATTTCTAGGGGGTGTTTGGTAATATTGTCTATAACCAGTATTATAGGGGAGATGATCTAATTGTTGTTCGGGAAAATAGTTCCGTTCGTCAGAAAAATCCCCCCTTCCTTTTCCAGACTGAGGTCTCTGATTGTAGTCATGTTTTCCCTAGGGGACAATTTCTCTGGATTTTCAGAAATTGTGACAAGAAAGAAGATTACTTTGTCCAATCTGAAATCCTCAAACAGAGATTTATTGATAAAGGCTACAATGCCAATACCCTCGATGAGGAAAGGCTTGTTGTGGGAGACAGTAACAGAGCCAATCTACTTACCACTAGGCCAAAGACCCAGACTGAGAAATTTTGCCCTTTCATCACCAACTTCTCCACCCAATATAGGGACATAGCCAAGATCATTAAGAGAAACTGGTCTATTCTCAAGAATGACCCCATTATAGGGAAACACTTACCCGAAATCCCCGACATTACTTACCGCAAGGCACCCCCTTTGAGAAACAGGCTGGCTCCAAATATAGTCAACCCACCTAAGCAGCTATCCTTCTTTTTTGATCGGAAAGGGTTTTTCCCTTGTAATAGGTGTATGTTATGTACTCACAATGGTATCCATAAAAACCCAATCAAGACTTTCCATTCCAACACCACAGGGAGAACATATGACATCCAATCCACTATTACCTGCAACAGCACGCATGTTGTATACCTCTTAGAATGTGCATGCGGCAAACAGTATGTCGGTAGAACGACTAGAAGACTTCGGGACAGATTACGGGAGCACTTAAAAAATATAAAAAAGGGATTTAGAGAACACTCACTTTCCATGCATTTTCGCCAAACGCATAACAATAATCCACACTCCCTGAAATTTATAGGAATTGACATGATTCAAAGACACTGGAGAGGAACACATAAACGCAGGGCAGTCTCAAAGATAGAAACCAAATGGATTTTTTTACTCAAAACATTTGCCTCACAAGGGTTAAACGTGGATTTGGATCTTAATTGTTTGTTTAGACATTAGTTAATTGTCATTGATTTTACGGCATTTTAGTGTATGTTGAGTGTTTATTGTGTTGCCATCCTTCGGCCACATTATCTGTATACTCACACCAGCATTATTACTTATATCTTACATTTTTAATTGCATATATATTTCATGCATGTGATGTTGTTCCATATGTTTTTACATATTTATATATAATTTCATATTTTTTATATATATTTATGTATATATATACTTTTTATATGGTCACCTGTATAAGAATTACACGTGGTGTCACCTATATAAGAATTACACGGGGGGGGTCAAGATAAGTACTCATGAAGATCGGTTTTTTTTCAATAATTTGAGGTCCGATTCTCAATAAATAAATTATATATTAATGCCAGGTGATGCTTATATTCCTATATATATTTATTGTGTATATTTTTAATTTTGATATATATTATGCATTTTTTATTAATTTTTTACCATATTTTTCTATTTCTATATATATATATATGTGCAGTTTATTATAATCTGCCTGTATTAATATGTTTCAAACATGGACTTTTTTTGATGAATGGCTCCAATCGAGCAATCTGTTCTGGTACTTACAGTCCCACTATTTCACCACAGGATGACTATGCCCTTGATATCTATAGGGTCTGTGCCTTGTTTAACCCTTTTAAATTCTGTCATTCCCTGAGCATATCATTAATCGGTGGTTACCACCAACAACAGCTCCTTTTACCCCACTGAAGTTTCTTCCTTGGTTGGTCTGTCATCCGAGACAGCAACCACGGATTGAATTCTCCCACTGTTAGTTCTGTCTTCAGAGGCAGTAAACAGAGACTGGGACTCCAGGAAAATGGCTGCCAAGCACGATCTGCGCATGCGCGGATGAATAGCGATGACGCGATAGCGTCGGACTGCGCATGCGTGCGGCACTCGATCCGCGCATGCGCAGTAGCGGTAATTTGACGCGATTAGCGTCCTTTGACATTTTAGGCCTCATACCATAAATAGGTGGCCTCTGACAGTAGCCCACTCCCTTTGACAACGTGCACTTGCCACGAAACACGTTAGGGAGATGCTACTTCATCTACCACTACTACCCATATGGTCCACACCTTGATACGGGCGGCCATCTTTGGAATTGTTTATTGTAAGTGCTTCATTTGTTTATTACTCCTTAATAAAAGGTATTACACTATCGGAAGCCTCTCTTTTGGGTTTATTTCTGAGCCCTGAAGGTGATTCCTGTTCCTTGAGTGCATACCGCGCCCCTGGAGGTCGCTGACACAAAAGGATTCCACCACACACTGGATGAGCATTTATCCCACTGGATACCTGGTAATGCCACAACTGGAGAGGACGCAGATGTTTCTGGTGACCACAGCAGAGACGACCACAACTCCGGCAGGTTTCCTGATCCATTGACCAGGAGTAGGTCATTTTACTCCAATGCGCTAATATCTGCGCTATCTGGTTAGTGCATTCTACAGCCACACTTTCTACCACAGATGTCACAGATTTATTTTTGTCACTCCAATGATATATTGACTTTGACACCTATGTCACCATTTACACCTTTCTAACCAGGAGAATGTTGTAGTACTGGTTGCATAGACCATTACTTTTATGCTAGCTGCGTTTATATTTATCTAGGTGGTCACACTTCATCATGAGACAGACCTTTCTACTCTAGCGCTGCATGTTTTGTATTTGTAACTGTTATCCCACGAGGCGTTTTGGAGGCTTGCCTTTCATGCTAGCTGCTGGCATATTTTTGTTCTAAAACTATCCCGCGCTCGTTCACACCCTTTTTTATATCTACTTCTACAAATATGGTCTTCATGGAAGAGTCATCAGAAGAAAACCTCTTCTACGTCCTCACCACAAAAATCATCGTTTCAACTAGAGATGAGCGAATTATTCAAAAATTCGATTCGGCTGATTCGCCGAATTCGCGGAATAAATTCGATTCGAGGCGAATATATTCGCTGCGAATTTAACTTATAAAAAGGGTGTTTCTAGGCTTCAGAGAGCCTTTATATTAGTGCAGAACACTGTACCTTTAATTTAAATGCCCTTGGAGTCTGCTGGGGAAGAGAACTAATACTGTCAGTCAGTATGACATGCAGATGAGTGCCGTCGATCTTAGAATCACCGCACACTTCACTCATTGGGGCAGTCACGGGGCCAAAACCAGAGTGTGGAGCCACAGTGTGGCGGTGGAGGCAGCAGCAATGGGAGGCCATACAGCACCCTATGACAAAATGGAACCCACCAGCAGTGTGAGGAGACCTGAAAGTGGCACATGGCAGAGTGTGGCGATGGAGACAGCAGCAATGGGAGGCCGTACAGAGACCCATGACACACTCTGGACCTGGCAGCAGCATGAGGAGGCGGTACAGGGGCCCATGACAGATTACGGGCCTGGCAGCAGCAGTGGGCGGGCGGTGGATGCAGCAGTATTCGGAAGCCAAACACAGGCCTCGGTTAAAAAGCGGAAGCCGTCAGCAGCGTGAGCAGACGACAGAGACACATGGCGCAGGGTGGCAGTAGATGCAGCAGTATTCGGAAGCCAAACACAGGCCTCGGTTAAAAAGCGGAAGCCGTCAGCAGCGTGAGCAGACGACAGAGCACATGGCGCAGGGTGGCGGTGGAGGCAGCAGCAATGGAAGGCCATACAGCACCCTATCACAAAATGGAACCCACCAACAGTGTAAGGAGACCTGAAAGTGGCACATGGCGCAGGGTGGCGGTGGAGGCAGCAGTATTCGGAAGACATACACAGGACTAGTTTAAAAAGCGGAAGCCGTCAGCAGCGTGAGCAGACGACAGAGGCACATGGCGCAGGGTGGCGGTGGAGGCAGCAGTATTCGGAAGCCATACACAGGCCTAGGTTAAAAAGCGGAAGCCGTCAGCAGCGTGAGCAGACGACAGAGACACATGACGCAGGGTGGCGGTGGAGGCAGCAGCAATGGAAGGCCATACAGCACCCTATCACAAAATGGAACCCCCACAGTGTAAGGAGACCTGAAAGTGGCACATGGCGCAGGGTGGCGGTGGAGGCAGCAGTATTCGGAAGACATACACAGGACTAGGTTAAAAAGCGGAAGCCGTCAGCAGCGTGAGCAGACGACAGGCACATGGCGCAGGGTGGCGGTGGAGGCAGCAGCAATGGGAGGCCATACAGCACCCTATGACAAAATGGAACCCACCAGCAGTGTGAGGAGACCTGAAAGTGGCACATGGCAGAGTGTGGCGATGGAGACAGCAGCAATGGGAGGCCGTACAGGGACCCATGACACACTCTGGACCTGGCAGCAGCATGAGGAGTGCGGTACGGGGGCCCATGGCAGATTACGGGCCTGGCAGCAGCATGAGGAGGCGGTACAGGGGCCCATGGCAGAGTGGCGGAGCGTAAGCAGCTAAAATTGAAGGCCATACAGAGGCCTATGTTAAAAAGTCCCCCCAGCAGCAGCGTGGGGAGACGACTAATAGTCGTCGACTATCAAGAGTCCAATGGCAGAGTGGCGGAGCAGAAGCAGCTTCAATTGAAGGCCATACACAGGCCTAGGTTTAAAAGTCCCTCACAGTTAATTCCAATAACGAACTCTACTCCTCCGTGCAATCTACTTACGAGACCCTGGGCAGGTCTGGGTCCAATTTGTGGTAGAGACTGGTTTTGTTCAGCCATGCTTGAGCGAGTAATAACAGGTCTGTGCTGCCCTTTGGTGTCTGGCTTAATGCGCACAACACTGAACGTCCCAGCGTTTGTCAACGATTTGCCATTAAGTGATGCAAACCCGCTGAACCACGTTCATGAGGAGCTGGTACAGGGGGCCATGAATCAGTATGGACCTGGCAGCAGCGTGAGCAGACGACAGAGGCACATGGCGCAGGGTGGCGGTGTAGGCAGCATTATTCTGAAGCCATACACAGGCCTAGGTTAAAAAGCGGCCAGCGTGAGCAGACGACAGAGGCACATGGCGCATGGCGGGTGGCGGTGGAGGCAGCAGCAATGGAAGGCCATACAGCACCCTATCACAAAATTGAACCCACCAACACTGTAAGGAGACCTGAAAGTGGCACATGGCAGAGTCTGGCGATGAAGTCAGCAGCAATGGGAGGCCATACAGGGACCCATGACACACTCTGGACCTGGCAGCAGCAAGAGGAGGCGGTACAGGGGCCCATGGCAGAGTGGCGAAGCGTAAGCAGCTTAAATTGAAGGCCATACAGAGGCCTATGTTAAAAATACTAACATGTTTGGGGCATGATTCATGGCGGATTTAGTCAGTTGTGTCAGGAACTGGTGGTTTGAAATCCAGACTAATCCACGCCTGATTCATTTTCACAAACGTGAGTCTCTCCACACTTTGGGTGGACAGTCGTGTCCTCCGCGGAGTTACAATACCTCCTGCCGCACTAAACACGCGCTCCGATGCCACGCTACTGGCCGGGCATGACAGCCTTTCAAGGGCAAATTCAGCTAGTTGGGGCCAAAGGTCAAGTTTCGTTGCCCAGTAGTCAAGGGGATTGTCTACCTCGGTTGGCAGGGTGCTGTCCAAGTAGGCCCGAGCCTGTTGTTTGAGGTCCTGCTCCAGGTCCACCTGATGCTGCTGCTGCTGCGGCTGGTTAGTAGTTTCCTCACTGCGCTGGTGAAGAAAGCTACTCATCATCGACTGCAGACTGAGGCAGCCGCTGCTGGTGGAGCTGCCACTGCTCCTACCACCCCACCCCTCCCCTGCTGCCATGGCAGCGGAACGCGAGCGCACAGGGCCCACAGTGTCTGAGGATGGACGTTGGCGCAGAAAGGCAGAGACCAACTGACTACATAGGCGGTTTTTATAGTACTTTATTTTGGCCTCCCTCTCAGCAGGTGTGAAAAAGGCCACCATTTTTGAACGGTAGCGAGGGTCCAACAAGGTGGACAGCCAAAAGTCATCCCTCTGTCTGATGGTTATTATTCGGCTGTCGCTACGCAAGCAACCGAGCATGCTATGGGCCATTTGTGCCAAGGAATGCGAGGGACTCCCTGCCTCCATCTCCACAGCATACTGCCACGGTGCGTCTGGGTCCTCTGTCTCCTCCTCCTCCTCTACCAGATGCTCCTGCTCCTCCACTCCTGTCCGCTGAGTGGAAAAACCACCCATTTCACTCAATAATTCCTGAGCACCAATGTCCTCCTCTACCTCCTCCTCTTCTTCCTGTCCTGCCCCCACAGGGGTCATGTGGCATTGAGATCTGTGCGCCACGTCTACCGCACCCTGACCAGCCATTGTTAACAGCATTTGTTCCAGGACGTGCAACAGAGGAATGACGTCGTTCATCCCATAGTCCTGCCGACTCACGAATAGCGTGGCCTCCTCAAAGGGCCTGAGCAAGCAGCAGGTGTCACGCATGAGCTGCCAATGGCTGACATCTAAGTTACACAGGGGAGTACCTTTATCCGCTTGTAACATCAGGAAATCGGTGATGGCCTTTCGCTGTTCGTAAAGGCGGTCTAACATGTGTAGGGTTGAATTCCACCTTGTTGCAACGTCGCAGATCAGGCGATGCTGTGGAATTCCGTTCTGCCGCTGCAGCTCAAGGAGGGTGTGCTTTGCGGTGTAGGAATGGCTGAAATGCATGCAAAGTTTACGTGACATTTTAAGGATGTCTTGCAGTGGGATGGTGGATTTTAGGAACCGCTTGACAACCAGATTGAACACGTGAGCCATGCATGGCGCATGGCACAACCTTCCTTGACGCAGAGCAGACACCATGTTCTTTCCGTTGTCGGTCAACATGGTTCCGATTTTCAGTTTGCGCGGAGACAGCCATCTGTCGATTTCTCTGTTCATTACACTCAGAAGTTCCTCCCCTGTGTGACTACGTTCGCCAAGGCATACCAGGTGCAGCACAGCGTGACACCGTTGCACCCTGCACATGTGATATGCCGGTCGGTAATGGGACTTGGCACGGGGGGTGGCGGCTGAGGACACGGCGGAAGAAGAGGTGGTAGAGGCGGACATCTTTGCTGGACCAAGGACGTGCAAACGTGGAGGCAAAAGCGGCGTGACCTGTCCAAGTTGCTGGTGCGGCTGTGCCGGCACCACGTTCACCCAGTGGGCCGTAAATGACATGTACTGTCCCTGACCGTAGTTACAGCTCCACACGTCGGCGCTGCCGTGCACTTTGGCAGAGACCGACATGCTCAAAGACTGGCCCACCATCTCTTCTACATGTGAATGCAGGGCTGGCACTGCCTTTTTGGCGAAGAAATGCCGGCTTGGCACTCTCCACCGTGGCTCGGCACAAGCCATCATTTCTCGGAAAGGTGCTGAGTCCACCACTTGGAAAGGGAGGGACTGCAGCACCAGCAACTTGGACAGGAGGACGTTCAGCTTCTGCACCGTCGGGTGCGTGCTCGCAAACTGTTGTCTCTTGGAAACAGATTCCAAGAAAGACTGCTGACGGAATCCGTGAAGAGGAGTAGCAGGAGAAGGAGCATCTGAACGAGCGGAAGATGCCAACGAGCGACAACTCCCCTCAGCAGAGGTGTTGGAGCCTTGACTGGCTGATAGAGGGCGATTGACGTCGGGTGACGGAGCAAGTAACGGAGCGGGTGATGGAGCGGGGACTGGGGCAGGCAGAACCGCCGTATCTTTATCACGGTTTTCCCAGGCCCCAGGCCACCGAATGGCAACGCTGTAGTCCCAACATGGGCCCCCTGGCCACGCTTGACTTTCTGGCCACATAGTCGACATACGGCTACGTTTACTTCCTCGGGCGGCTTGACGAAAAATTGCCACACCGCCGAGTAGGAAACTTTGCCCCCGCTACTCCTCACTGGTTGACTGCTACTTCCTCCGTGCACACCGGCACCACTACTGGCCGTGGTGGTAGGCTGCAGTGGAGCTGGTGCTCTACTCCGTGGCCGTTTGCCTCCACTGACACTGCTGCGACCCTGCTGCCTCCTGGGCAACCCACCGACTGTTTTGCTCGCTGGCAAGCTGGCACCCTCTTCTCCTGATGATGCGGAAGCAATAGCCTGATGACGACGAGGCTGCCAAGTGCGATCAGCCTCATCATCATCAATTAGGGTCTCCGCGTCACTACTAGCCCCCTCGGCTGCGTGTGGGTCAGGAGACAGACCTGTCTCTAGACCGGCTACCGAGCCACTCTCCTCGCCAGTACTTCTTCGCCTGGCTGCTGAAGAGGCGGATGTCTCCCCCCGTTCCTGACCGCCCTCTGTTAGCTCTTCCTCACTGTACAGTGGGGCTGAGCCCACAGCATGCGATACTTTGCTTGGTGAGGGAACACCAAAGGACAGGGGCAGGTAGAGGACACGTGATTTCAGTGGGCTTGCTCCCGGGCCATTCCAACTAACGGTTGTGTCTGACGTACCCACCGACCGTTGGCTGTAGGTGTCAGAGGTGACCTGGGAAGAGGAAGACGACCGAGTCAACCAATCGACGACGGCAGGGTTGTTGGTGGAGACACGACCGCTGGATGACACCGGGAGCACTGGCCTCTGGCTGCGACTAGTGCTGCCTCGACCCCTTCCTCTGCTGCCACGTCTGCCCGCTCCTGAAACATTGCCTCCTCTGCCACTCCTCTGCGTGTTGTCTGACATACTCTTTAATTCAATAAGCACCCCAAACATAAAACAGGATTTAACTCTTTGAACGTACAATAGTGGTTGTGAAGCAGAAAGTAACGATTCTGTGTCCCTGAGTAATGATTCTGTGTCCCTGAGTAATGATTCTGTGTCCCTGAGTAACAATTCTGTGTCCCTCAGTAACGATTCTGTGTCCCTGAGTAACGATTCTGTGTCCCTGAGTAACGATTCTGTGTCCCTGAGTAACGATTCTGTGTCCCTAACGTGACCCTAAAGTCTCTGATTGGCCCTAACTCTGTCCCTAATACAGACAGGTCTGTCTCTCTTGAATGACCGGAGGCTAATGGAGAATTCTAAGATGGCCGCGATTTATAGCTCCACCATTACACAGTGCTGGCTGGCTGGCTGCTGATTGGCTAATGCGATCACATGTCATGAATGAATGCATTATGGGTCAGCGCGCCTTGTCTGCGCGCCTTCCCAGAGATCCCCGCTCCGTCGCCACACATGTCGCCACCATTTTTGGGAAAATTTGATTCGTGCATCCGAAGTTTGCTAATTTTCGGATTCGGCGCGAATCGAATTTTTCCTAATCTTCGAAATGAATTCCACTTCGTCATGTTCGATTTGCTCATCTCTAGTTTCCACTTTGCAAATGAACATATAGACAAGCCTGATGCATTTTGGAAACAAGTTCTGTGGACCGATGAGGTTAAAATTGAACTTTTTGGCCGGAATGAGCAAAGGTACGTTTGGAGAAGAAGGGGCACAGAATTTAATGAAAAGAACCTCTGTCC